CACCTCTCCGCCCGCTCCGCCGCTCTCCCAGCCGCTCCGCGCCACCGCCCGCCCCAGGCCCGCCCGCTGCCGGTGGGGGCGGCGCCGCGCCCGCCCTGGCTCCCCCTCCGGGCTCCGCTCCCCTCCGCCCGGTCCTCCCGGTGCCACAGGTTCACCGTGCCCCTGCCTCCTTCACCTCGTCGGGAGGGAGTCGCCGTAGGGAGAGGGGGTGGAGAGACCCCAGCTCTTCACTCCCACGCCGCACGCTGCCGGTGCTGGAACTACCCAGCGCCGGGCTCATGAAACCGAGAACACACCGTCCTGCCCAGGAGAGCACCCCCCGGCCCGTCACTGCCGCGGGGCTGCAGGGACAGAGCATGAGCTCTGCTCCACTATGAGCACACCCTTGCCACAGTCTCTCAGCAGCGTCAGGAAGATGCATATGGGTCTTAAACCCTCCACCGCCACTTTTGTCCCAACTTGGCTGAGCCAGGCAAATGAACATGCCAGGAAAGGTGCTTCCCACCCACCAGCACAGGCAGAGCTGAGGGCAGGCAGGAAGGAAACACACAGAAATGAGCTAAAAAGGTTTGCTTTAAAAACAGGCAGAAGTGACAGGGCATCTGCCGAGAACACCACACCAGAAATGGCACCTGTGGGTGCTGCCAATAACACTGCGCTCACCCCGGCACCTGCTCCGCACCAGCCACCGCCGCGGGAGTGGGGAGGGAGGTGTGAACACTGTGAGGCTGGATGAGAGCCATGGTGGAAGGGATAGAAGGGACCTGCCTGGCAAGCAGAGGGAACACAGTGAGCCCCAGCCCTCATGCAGGAGGGCCACCATGGGCAGCGCTGCCAAGGAATGGAAAACCATTTCCTCCAGGAATCCCATCACACAAGCTCTTGGGAGCTGTGTTTGAGCATGGAGGCTCCTGGTAGGACTGGACACCCACACTGCACATTGGAGAGGGAACAGCCTGAAGCAGGAGCCCAGCCCAGGACTTTGCCTGTATGCAGCAGGAAGTGGGAGGTGTCCAAGTCTGAAGCCCCTCGGCCCCACGAGGTGGTATCACTGTCCATCCCACTGCTGGCTTGGGTTGTCCTTCTCCATGCAGGCCAGGTAGCGGTCATAGTTCTCCTCGCACCTCCTCACGCAGCGCAGGAAATAGTCCTCATCAGCAATGGCCTCCAGTAGGTCTGTCTGCACCAGGCACACGTCGTACAGCTCCGAGGTGGGCACGCTCCTGGGGCTGCTGCTGCCCTGCTCCGAGAACACCTGCAGGGAGAGCAGGGCCTGGCAGAAGCACTTGTGCCCTGTAGTGGGCCCTCTCCTCCCCTGGCTAGGCACCTCCATACTGGATGTGGGTCAGGGGCAGAGGGCAGGGGGATCCCATCTCCGCTCCAGCAGCACAAGGTGAACTTTCTCCAGATTTCCCCTCCCTCCCAGAAAGTGCCTTTGGTTCCAAACCAGCTTGTCACACATGTTGCTGGTGCTCCCTTAAAGGAACACACCACACAGCTGGAAGAGAACAGCTCTGTGGAGCAGCCAACCCCAGGAAAACCTCTGCCAACAGCTCTCCTTTGGCTGCCACAGGAGGGAACAGGGACTTCACCTTCTGATCTTCACCATGGCTCTGCCTAAGGCCATCCGGTAATCTGTTTCACTTCCAGCACTGCTCTGTCACCATCACTGACATGGGGACAGCACTGCAGAGCTGGTGATGCAAGAGGAGGGGAAGATGGCATCCAACCTACAGATCCTGGCTGCAGGACAGCAAAGTCCCAGCAGTGTGGATGAGCCCTGCTGGCAAGATGCTTGGCTGCTGCCCAGACTCCCATGAGGCCTGCTGCCACTGTAACTGGATCGTACCTGTGTGATCTGGCACGGGAGCAGCCCTGGGGCTGGGCTGCAGGCCTGCCCTTGAGACAAGCCGAGCAGCACAACCAACCAGCCATACCAGCTACCAATGGTAAAAGGAGGAAATCCTTGATCAGGGAAACAGCTTGGGGCTGAAATGCAGCAAGTGGAGCTGTGTGAGCCACTCTCTGTCTGCTGCAGACATGCAGGCAGAGCTGCTGCACACAGGAGCTGTTGCAGTAACTCCCTTGAACCAGGTACAGCACAGACCAAACCCTATTCCTGACAAGTCTGTCCAGGCAGTGACAACTCCTGCCACCAGCTACAAAACTACAACCTGGGAGAGCTCATATGGAAGGCAATATCCACAAAGCACCTCATCCCTCACAACTCCATGTCTGCCTGGCAAATGCTGCTGACCATTCATTCACTGGCTGCTGCAGGTTTTTCCCCCAGCACTGTCTTCTTACAGACGGAAATAAGCAGGAGATGAGACCACTGCCATGCTGGTGGCACAGGGTGCACTGACCAGCATGGACACCAGCACGACCTCAATCTCCCTTTGCAGCCTCATGCAAAGGACACAAAACATGCCAGACCTCACCAGGGTCACCCCCAGTGTGGCCTTCAGCCACTTACCTGTGGGTGGACAATGGTGTCTGCATCGTCCAGCCGGATGTTGTCATCGATGAAGATGTGGTGAACGTCAGGATCGTGGGGGTCTATCCACAGAGGCTTCCCACCCCGGGAAGAGAAATTATTTCTGGCCCACCTGAAACAGTTATCAGGAGAAGAAGCAGTCAGAGGAGGGAGAAGGTGACAGCTCCCAGGTAAAGGCAGACTGTACTGCAGGGAAGTGGGATGGAGAATGTCCTGTCCTGCTGCCTGCTGTGGCCTCCTGGGAAAGGCATTTTGCACCAAGGTGACAGATCATGGGTTGTTTGGAGAAAAGCAGAGAGTACACCAGGGGATGGAGACCTGAGGAAAGGTATGAAAGCCCCATCAGGCTACACACAGGAAAATAGAGTGCACAAATGATAGGGGCCCCAAATAGGCTTTAAAACTAGGAGCTATCTCAGAAGCTCAGAGAATCATAGGAGACAATATAATGCCCAATCCACTTCCTCAGTGCCCTGTTTCTCACCAGTCAAAGTGGTCTTGGAAGCCTCCAATTCCCTCAAAGGAGCTGAAGTAGTTGTAAAGCTTTTTTCCATCTTCCCGGGTGGCCAGTTGCTCCGTGCCCCGTGTCAGCACCACATCTTGCTTGCTGCAGCGGATCTGGCCAGGGGTGAGGTCCACAGGGAGCTGCAGGACCACAGAAAGCAAGGGAGGAAAGGTTTCCAAAGCAGACAGGTTGTTTCATGCACTGGCAGAGACACTAAGAAGCAGGGTGGAGGCTCCCCACCACCACAGTGTGGGAGGACAGTGCTGGGGAGAAGACAAGAGGAGGTGTGGAAACAGCCCCAGCCAAAAGTCATCCCCTTCCCAGGGATGGAAAGGAACGACCTCCTAGATGCACACTGCCCCTGTTTCATTCTTTGTTCCCCATAAATGCTCCAAGAAATAAGTGAAGCATCTCCTGAAGATCATTCCCTGTGCTCCTGCCTGGTGTGCTGCCAGGGGAAGAGAAGAGAACATAGCTGTGATCAGCTCTGAGCCAGGGAGCTCTGCACTGCTGCAGCAGCCGCTTCCCAGGAGAAGGGATGCTCTGTCCAACCCGGGATTCCCCAAGAGGAGGCCATTCCTACATAGGATCTGCACAGACGTGCTGCCCCACAGCTGACAGCCTCCTCCCGAGAAACTGGTGCTTTTAAAGCAGTCTGGCCAAGTTCCTGGAGAGCAGCTTTGCACGGGGGGACTCCGTGGGACCACTCGCTTGCCCTTCCCCATCCCACCGAACCCTCGGGGCACCACTCACCGCCACGTCCCGCAAGGTGGGGAACTGGGGGTGCTGCCCGTCCAGGGCACTGCTAACAGCCTGCAGGGCGCGGGGCAGGTCGGTACCGAAGGTCCTGAAGACCACGGCGAAGGCCCGGCCATCCCGGTGCAGCGTGTCCAGGAGCCGGAAGAAGGAGGGCAGGATCAAGTGGAAGCGCTCGCCGGGCTCTCCCGGCACGGACAAGGCGTCGTGCGGCCGACCCGGCCACTCCAGCAGCTGCAGGTGGCGGGCGTGGAGGCTCCGGAAGCGGCGGCCCGGCCCGGCCTCGGTGAAGGCGGGGTCCCGGCCGTGGGCGCTGTAGTAGCTGAGGGCGCCGGGGCACGGCGGGCACAGGGACGGACGGTCGCTCACCCACTCCCACTCGCCTGCAAGAAGAGAGAAGCGCGCTCAGCACCCGCCGCCGCCGCCACACTGGCTCCCCCCCTGGCCCGGCGCTCACCGGCGGCCCCGGCGCGGCCCCAGGTGACGGTGCTGAGGAAGGTGTTGAGCGCCGCGCGCGGGCCCTGCCCGGTCACCGTGTCCGCCACCACCACGGTATTGTTGAGGTCCACGTGCAGCACCAGACGCCGCCGCCGCCGCCGCGCGGCCCCGCCACTCATGGCCCGGCCCCTGGCCCGGCCCCGCCGCTCACAGCTCGGCCCCTGGCCCGGTCCCAGTCCCGGTCCTGATACCGGTCCCTGTCCCCGTCCCTGTCCCCGTCCCGCCGCTCCCGGCCCTGCCCCGTTACCTGGTGACGGCGCCGCTTCCGCCGGGGCGCCCCCTGCCGGCCCGGCCGCGCCGTTGCCATGGACACCGCGGGGGCGGGGCCGAGCGCGGGCGGCTGTTGCGAGGGCGTGTCCCCGGCCCCGCGGACAGCGACCGGAAGCGGAAGCGGGTGGCGCTTCCGGCGCCCCGCGGGCGGCCATGTTGGAGCGGCGGTCGCGGCGCAGCGGCGGGCGCGGGTCTGGCGGCGGCCGGTAGGTTGGAGCCGGCGGGCCCGGGCCCCGCGCCGGCTCCCGGGCGAGGGCGCTGCCGAGCCGCTCGCCGGCGCGGCCCCCCGGGCGCTGGAGGCGGAGCCGCGGCGCTGAGGGCCCCGCCCCCGGCCCCCGCCCCCCCGGTCCCGGGAGCCGGCGCGGGCCGAGCGCGGGGGCCGCACCCGCTGTCTGCACCAATCACCTCCCGCAGTCCCGCAGGGAGGGGCTGGCCCGCGCGGGCTGCCCGCCCCGGGGTCCCTCCGGCCGGCGGGCCGAGCCGTGGGGAGGGGGCAGGGGGAGCGAGGGACGGGCACTCGGGCAGAGGCATCGCCTCCGCCGAAGGGCGCGCCAGGAGGAGAGGCTGAGCGGGGCTCCGGCGGCCCCGCCGAGCACTCCTTGGGACCGCGCGCCGGCTTCCGGCTCCACATGCAGCCCCAGCCCCGCGTCTCGGCCTTGCCGGTAGTCGGCGTTCCCCTCCGGTGCCCCTGGAGCAGCACAGCAGAGCCCTTTCCCAGCGCCGTGCCCGGGCAGTCAGGCCTCTGAGCTGTCTGTCTGGGAGAGCCCTACCAGCGCTGTGCGTGCACTGTTCCGGCAACGCTGTGTTTCCGTGGTCCCCTGACCCCCCAAATGAGGGAACAGCCTGTCCGGGATGTGCCTGCTCGTGCCCAGCTTTCCTCCAGCACAACCGGCACTGCACCAAACCGGACCCAGCCGAGGGATGCTGGGAATTCCTGTCCCCGTGAGGTGTCACAGCCAGAGTACCCCTTCAGGTGTCCCAGCTGTTCCTGGGCTTGCTGCAGCCCCAAAATGATCCATTTTGCTGCCTGTTGAGGACACATAATTCCACTTTCCCTCGGTCTGACCTTCCCTGCCAGATCAGGATTAACGTGACATCCTTGCTGGCTCGGCTTGGTCACTCTGAAGGTGCTGATGACGCTGGCTGGGGCTCTGGGATCCCTTCCCTGCCTGCCTGTGTGGGATCTCTTCCCTGCCCGCCTCCCCTCCTCCGTGGGAGATCCCCCTCCTGCCGCAGCGCAACTGCATTATCCTCCTCCAAATCCCTCTTCTGCCGTGACGTCTGCAGAGCACTTGACTGAGATTAGTCTGTCATGTGGAGGTTCTTACTCCCTCACTGACCTGTGCTTCCCCTCCTGCGGCTGCTCTTGGCTCCTGTCTCTCCCTGCTTGTGCAGCTGGCGGCAGCATGGGCTCTGCTCGGGGCCCTGGGGGAGTGTGGGACACGAGCAGTTCCTTGCTCTGTCTGCACTAACTTCTCCATCACAGCTTCCTTCCCTGTGCACTGCCCTCTCCCAAGAGTGCTTCTGACACCTCCTGCGTGTCCCTGAAAAGAGTTTTTAACTGGATCCTCGTTGTTATTTTGAGAGCTGTCACTGGAGCTAAAGGTTTTGTGCCTCATCAGTGGAGCGTCCAGCTGCAGAGCTGTGAGGCCACCAGGATCAGAGTTCTCCTGGGTGCATCCCAAAGTCCTGCCTGGACTGCCCTTCAGTGCCTGTGTTTTATTTAAAGCCATAACTGGTGCTTTTGTGCCAGGCAGGCAGCTGCGCAGTGCCCTGAGCGTGATCCCAGTGTTGTCCCTCAGGCCATTGTGCACTTGGCCCTGGTGATGTGTGTTTCCTTCATACCGCCCTGCTTGAATTTCCTGCTTCCTCCTCACTTGGCAGCGAGTGCCCTTGGATCCACACCAGTTTGCTGTGACAGCAAGGCGCGGACCGTTGTTCAAACAAGGGAACAGCAAGGAGCGGTGCTGCCTTGCCACGGCATTCAGCATCGATGAAGCTCAACTGGAACAGCCTCCAGCCCTGCTGCCAGGTCTCCAGGAGGAAGCTGCAGCTCTGGCAGGGACTCAGAATCAATTTTTTGAGCAGCATCAATTAAGAAGCTGAGAAATTGGAGTTGACGCTGGGATGGAGTTGAGGTGCTCAGGTTTCTTAGTGTTGAGATGGGTCGATGGTGCTGCTCTCGATGTGTATACAGGGAGAGGGTTCCATGAGGGACTGCTTTACCCAGGGAAAATGTGACCTGATCATCCAAAGCTGGGGTGGGTCAAACTCAAACTGGAAACGAGCTGCAGATTTTGCTGAGTTAAAAGTTGGAATCCTTCATCTTGGGATGGATTGTATGGGATTTCCTGAAGTCTTTATTTAGGCTGGAGATTTCTGTGAGAGATGTTTTAGTTTTACTTCAGAGATAAATCAGTGATAGGATTTTCTTGATGATGCTTCCGTCTTGGGTTGTGCCCAGAATCTGACCCAGTGCTTGTGACCAGCCACGCCTGGGCTTAATGGTCTCAGGTCCCTGCTTAGAAACTTGGGATAATTTCAGTTGCTTTAAGCTAACTATCTTCTTTCTCCTTTTGAGGTGTCGGGGGTTGTTTTTCCAGTAATTTGGACCTTTTTGAAGCACCTGCTTGCCTAATGCCATGAATATTGCAGTGAACAATGAGGAAGAAAAAGCTGTCCATTCCTGGTCGAGAATTTCCTCTGCAGGACAAAAAGTGCTGGAGGAGGCTCTCCGAGTCTTCAACCCGATGTCCAAGGACCTTTCGGACACAGAGACCCAGCTGGTGGCCTTCATCCAGGGCCTGAAGGAGGAGGGCTACCAGCCCACGATCCTGAGGAGTAAGGATGTGTACGGGTACAGCTCGTGCACGGCAGACACCCCGAGTCAGACGAAGGAGAGCAGCCCACACGGCTGTGCCAGCACTGCCAAGTCTGTGCAGAGTCCGGCCCAGAACGCCACAGCCATGGCAAAGGTGTCCGCTTCTCCCACCAGCATTCCCGTGGGCTCTCTGAAAGTCTCCGCTCAGCCCGTCTCCAAAGGGGATTCCGCAAATCTCCTGCTGAGCTCCTTGAAGCAGACAGGGTCCGGCACGTCCAAGGCAGCAGCAGTGGGCTTCCCCACAAACATGTATCCCGATGTGTATCCAGCTGTGAGACTGTCTGTGGTTCTGGAAGCCCTGGTGCCGCTGAAAACCACGGCGTCCTGTTTGGAGTCCAAGTACACGCGAGGGCGGCTTGGGATCTCGCCCTCAGACCTTAAACTCCTCAAGAATTCCAGTCCACCAAGGCAGTTTCCTTCAGGCAAGAGCACTAAAATAACTGAAAGCAAGGGGTACAAGCGTTCGGTGAAGAAGGCACCGGATTCTGCCACCCACGCTTTAAACCTCCTGAAGGCACCAAAGGGTGGAGTGCTGCAGGAGAGCAACGCCTGCAAGGCCTCGGGAATTCTCAATGGGAGAGTCACAGGCAGCTCATCGCAGGGCTGCACCACAGCACCGCAGCCCAAGACCCTGAAACTCAAAGATAAGGAAGCTCTGGTGGGAAAAACAGAGTGGAAGGACAGCAGCAGTTACCGGGAGAGCGTTGGGCAGAAGAAGAGAAGAGCTACAGAGGCAAGAGAAGCACCACAGAGGAAAAAAGCAAATACCATTCCTGTCCGAAAGAAAACTAGACGGGCTCAGAGCACTTTGAACCTACTGAAATTCCGGACCATCAAGGTGGGCAACTCCTCATCTGACGATGAAGTGAGGAGGAGAGCACAGAAGATTCTTAGGGTCAACCTATCACCCGTGATTCGAATTCAGCCCTTGTCCCACTCTCACAGTGTCCCCTGAGTTTCTTCACTTTGTCACTTTTTTTTTGTAAGTAAGTAAATACGAGCCTGGCACCAGAGCGCGGAGAGGTTTGGGAGCAGCTCTGTGTCTCTGGTGCTGATATGCCGACTAACCTGCAGGCAGAGCAGCTGCTCCCACGCTGTTCTGCCTGTCTGCCACTGCTGTGCAGGACTGGCTGCAGAAATCCAAACCTCTGTTTGGGAACACGGGATGGTGACTTCGGCCAGCGGTGAGCCGGGCGGGCCAGAGGGCTCACTTCCTGCTGAGCTTCCCTGGACGTGGCAGGCTGAGCTCTCGTGCAGGGGAGAACACGGGACTTTCTCATGACATCGATGCACTGTGATATTGCTCTTTTTCAAGCTGTACATTTACTGGTTTTATTTTGATCAAATTTTATAACTTTATTATCTATATATCTATATATCCATATATGTGCATATGGCCCAGGAACTGTGGGAAGATGCACTCCTCCATCCCTCTGGGATAGGGTTCAATAGCTTTTGTTCTCCCTCCCCTTCAGCTAGTCTTTTGTTGAAAGGTGCCAGGATTCCTTTGTGGTTCAGTGTTGTGACAGTCTGTCCTGGGCTCCCTCGAGCAGCTCGGAGACAGCAACATTATAGCCACTTGTTTGTCTCCAGAATGCCAAGCAATTTGGAGAATTACCAGCTGGTAGTTTTAATCCTATTTTCGGTATTACCTCTGCGTAGCAGTGGGGGAGTGTCACGGGGCTTGACGTCTGAGGGTGCCTCCTCCCTTTGTTGGTAGCAGAAGTTCTGAACTCATGGTAGGGATTTGCCTCCAAAGAGCGATTCCTCCTCAGCACCCAGCACTACCCCGCTCTCCTGTATCCCAGGTACAGCTGTAGAACATGGACTGTGACTGTTAAAGCAGAAGGGCTGGAGTTTTGTAAAGTGTCCTGCCCACCATGTAACTGATTTACTGTTGCTGGGTGTTTCAGGAGCAGGTTTTAGGTGCCGGCAGTGAAGACTTGTTGGTTTTGGCTGGAGTTAAATCACGACAAAGACACAGGCTGTGTTTGAATGTATTCACTACATCCTGCCGGTCCCAGAGCTCAGTGGGGTATCTGAGCCTGAGGTAAAGCAGAAAAGCGAAAGAATTGAGAGGAGGACATGTGCCAGCACTTAAACACAGAGAGTTGCTTTCTGTTGGTTTGTGAGGGTGAAGCAGTAGGAGGGGAGGTGGGCACCGTGTTGTGATGGGAGCAGCTTTGTTGTGCCATCAGGGATGTTGCAAGGAGGTGTGTGTCAGGTGTGAAAGCTCTGCTGTCCCCAGGAGGCACTGCAGAATCGCTGCAGCGCCAGGGGCATGCTGCTGGATGGGATCACAGGCTTCACAGGAAGGGATCTGCAAGCTCCAGGAGAAACGCCTCGTTGGAGCAGAAGGTGCTGCTGCTGTCACGTAGGAGGGTTAACCTGGAAGCAGCGTTGAGCCGGGCACGGACCTGGCTCTGTACAGCACTACACGCTCAGATCTCTGCAGCAGCAAGCCTGTAATCCACTCATTCTCTCACCAGCTCAAAATACCAGTTGTCTGACCTAGTAATCTCTGTCGACATTGGCTGAAGGGATGAGCTCCCCAGGGAAGCCCCAGCTCCTTATGTTAAAGCCCCCACGAGCACCTGGATGGATTTCAGTGGTTTGTAAAAGGGGTCAGTGCCTGATTCCCAGCTCAGAGAGGAAGACCATGACATGGAGAGAAGAGAGGACGTTCATGATGGGGTGAGAGGACAGGGAATTTGAGTGTGCCAAGGTGCGTCTGTGTTCTTCCCTCTCACCCAGACAGAGCAGGGTGGAGGTTCTTCATTGAGCAACCTGGTCTAGTGGAAAGTGTCTCTGCCCATGGCAGGGCAGTTGGAACAAGATGATTTTTAAGGTCCCTTCCAATGCAGACTATTCTGTGATTTTATGGTTCAGGACATAATTGCAGGCCCTGAACCCCACACTTGGGTTCTGAGTTGCTGTCAGAGATCATAACTCGCAGTGTTTGAGACTGACCTGTGAATGCCGCTGCTTGGCTGCAGAGGAGGAGGAATACTTTTTTCTACTTCTGTGTTTTGAAATGTCCTGGCAGAGAGTCCCCTCTGACCTGATGCTGGATGAACAGGGACCCTCCATCACTGTCAACTGGCCAAAATTTGCTTTGTTCCTTTTGTTCCCCTTCCTTCAGACCTTTCTCATTCCCACGCTCTCAAATGCCAGGTCTTGAAGTCCTGCACTGGCGTTTCTCTTTTTGGCTGTTTCCCAAGGAGGGCTCTGAACTCCTGCCTGCAGTATTGCTGTCTGTCAGGCTGCTCAGCAGCTTCCCCTGTTCCCAAACCCTTATAAGGGCACCAAGAGCTGTCTCTGGAGCCTCCTCTTGCAGCATAGACATCCCAGCTGAGTGCTTGGCCTCCGCTGGGAAAAGCAACGTGCATCAGCAAGGCTGAGTTTGGGTCAAGGTTGCTTTTCCTCCAGCCTGAGCAGGAAGCTGCGCACCTGAGGCCAACTTAGCGGGCCACATTCCTCCTCTTCACTGTGTGTCTTCCCCCAGCTGGGTTGCTGCCTGCCCCCCCCTCTCTTCTCCATCACCTCTTTTCTTTCACAGCTTGGGTCTTTGCCAGTCAAGGACTTGGCTTGTACTGTTGCTTGACACATCCAGCAGAGCATCCAGCTTTACTGCTGCTGTGCCTTTCCCAGCATTGAGCTGAGTGCTGTGCATACTTGGTGATGACAGCTTGCCCTGTGGCCTTCCCAGGCCACCAGCAAGAGGTGATCTGCTCCACAGGGAGAGGCAAGCTTTGGAAATGCTTTTGTGTCACCAAGACTCCTGCCAGGGAAGTGAGTAATCCATAGCTTTGTGCTCAGGGACCTGTCCATCACCATCCCGTCTCTGTCAGCTCTCCTGCACATCTCGGACAGACCACAGGGCCCTGAGCGATGGGGCAGCGCTGGAGCTTTGTTCTCTGCCCTCCTGATGTCTCCAGTTACCCCTCACAGGTGTTTCAGGAACTCGGCTGAGAGGATTGCAACTTGTTATTCACAGAGAGGCTTTGCAGCCCCTGGTGCCAGTGCCAGCGACTGCTGCCTGTCATCTGGTGCTGGTGGAGTGGGTGCCTCAGCCTAGTGGGAGTTGGCTCCTCTGTCCTACAGCTCATGCCCACATGTGGATGCTCCTGGTGTGGATGCTCCAGGTATCCTGGGCCTGTGACACTGATGTGCAGGAGGCTGCAGAAGGGTTGTGCCATGGACACTGCTGTCTGGTGTTTAGGGAAGATGAGGGGTTTGATCAAACCAGGGCTTCTGCCTAAGACCTGATCTATCCAGAGATCTCCCTCCGCAGGTCCCTTCCGCCACATGTTACTCTGTGGCAGCAGAGTAACATTTACCTTCTTGAGATCTCTGCAGCAGTATCTGGCAGGGCTCATGGAAATGTGTTGCCCGGAGCGCTGTGGTCTCTGCTGAGCATGTGGTATGCACCTTGTCCAGACCTGTTTCTGTATTAGTCACTTTGAATCCAAGTGCCTAACCTGGCCTGTGTTGTTCTGGGCACCATGACAGCTGAGAGCTTTGGAGACTCTCTTAGGAATGCTTTTAACGCATGGATTTGTGCCACTGTCGCTTCTAGAAATTATTCGGCCAGCGGTCAAAGGGCTGTTCTTCCGACTGATTTTTTTGGAAATCTTTTCTCCTTTTATTCAGCTGCCAAGAAGCAGTTTATGCTTCCCCTCCACCAGGCAAGGTCCTTGAGCTTCCTGCATGCTTCAGATGTCCGTCAGCGAGGTCCATGGGGAGAGCAGCTTGTCCAGCAGGCAGCTGAAGGGGAAGCTGACATCAGATACCAGTTGAAATCACAATGTTAATTGGTAGAAATGTTTTGAAGCTTATGTCCACTGTGATCAGATTTCACCATCTGCCACTGCTTTTAGTTGGAGAAGTTTGTCCTTAGCTTCTTTCCTGCAAGCCCTGTAGCGTGGTGCTGCTGCTTCTAAACTATTTGCATCCCCCCCTGAGCCAGCTGCTGTAGCAATCCCTGTACAGAATTTCTTAAGCACTTTTCTGCAAAATGAGAAGGGATTATTTTGTTACTCCTGCTTGGCAGTCCACGAGTGGTATTGCAGTACAAGGAGGAGATGTGCTCCCGGGAGCACTCACCTCACTGGCACTTCTCAGACCAGCTCTCACTAACAGGGCTGGGGAGCAGTGGGTTGAGACCCCTCATTGCCTTGCACATAATTCAGCCAGCTGCCAGCTGAGAGCATTGCAGGGAAATCGGGAGCAGAAGGGCGCAAGTGGGTGATGCTGTGCGTGAGGCTCCGTGGCCCTGCCCTGCAGCTGCCTTTGTTTTGCTGCCTGTCCTCCAGGCCCTCCTCAAACACCAGCAGCACTTCTCTACCCCAGCTCTAGCTGTGGCAGGAGGGACTGGAGGGCTTTGGGTTTTGGTCTTGAGCACAAAGGCTGTGTCCTTTTAGTTGTGACTTGTGCTGTGTTCATGGCCAGACTTTGGCAGCACGTGGGAGGTGCAGCCACTCCAGCTGTTTTTCCCCCTTGGATCCAAATTCCCTGCCCTGTCTGGGAACTGGGCCTTTGGCCAGGGCTTAAGGGATGAGTGGGGACTGAGAGTGGGTTTGTCTCTCAGCTCCAGCTGGGCATTGTGACATGAGTTGGGCAGCTTCCCAGCCAGGAGGGCAGATTAGGTTAGGAGGATCCTAGTTTTAGCCGTGGTTGGCAGGTGCCGAGTTGTGGAGCATTGGCTGCTCAGCCAGGCTGGTTGGTTTGTGCGGTTTCTTTTTCAGAATTCAAAATGGCACTGGCCTGTTTACTCGTGCAGTCAGATGGGGATGGCCTTTTGGGAGCTGAGGTGGTCTGAGGAGAGGGCAGCTGCTCTGGGGCACCTTCCTGACACTGCTGCAGCCCTTGGCTTTGCCAGCTGGGTGGGCTGGCACCACCTGTGGAGAGGGCAGCAGGGCAAGTTACTCCTGGGGCCCTTGCATTTGGGACTCTGTGCTAGAGAACACCATGCTAGAGTTTCCCCCTCCTTGCAGCCCATTTCTGCCTGGAGCTGGGTGCCTTTAGGAGGGTGCCAGGTGCCTCACAGAGATCTTGTCCCAGAAGGCATGAGAGCCAGCCCTCATCACTGGCTCATCCCTCGGTGTCAAGTGAACCCTGTCTGTAGGTGTGACACTGCTGGAACTTGCAGCTTGGCCAGCTGCTGCCTCCAAAGCTGTGGTGCTGAGGCCAGACCTCTTCCTTTTCTTAGGAGCGTCAAGGAGGTCTGGTGAAAAAGCGGGAAGCTTAGGGGAAGCTAAAGATGCTGGCAGCGCCTGGACAGGCAACTCTGTGTCTGCTGCAGGAGATGTGCAAATGGAGGAGCTAGGGCTGTGGTGTTCCACAGCAGGTGCCCCTCCTTCTGCAGCAGGTGCCCCTCCTAACCCTTGGGTTCTATTGTTTATCGGTTGCACAATCTGGCCCCACTTGAGTGGCATCTGAAATACCTTCCCCAGGGAGTCCCTTAAAGGCCTTATTATCCTCTGGGACTCTCTCCTTGTTGTCTTAATTAGCCCTTCCTGCTCCTGTGTTCCTGTGGCTACAGGCAGCCCCTGTGAGTGTCTGTTGATTCCCACAGACACAGGCATGTGGTGCTGTTTTAAAAGAGAAGGTGCTGCAAAGCTACCCCCAGAAATACCTCCCCTCCTGCCCCTGTTCCGCTGCACTGCCTAGGCCTGGGTTGGGACACAAAGCACTGGCATTTGTGGCAGAGGAGGCACGATGTGTGACACCGTCCCTCCTCCTGGTTCCCAGTACCACACTCCTGAGGAGTAGGGTTTCCCAAGCTGAGGCATGGCAGCCACTCCGAGGGACACAGGGGTTCTGGGTGGGCACTGTCCGGCCCCTTGTGCTTCTCTCTGCCAACCGTCATCTCCAAGAGA